TCAGTATACTCAATATCAGTATACTCAATATAGAACTTCTATATAAATCATGCAAATCTTTTTCTCTTTATTTGTTCTCTTTCCTTGCGTTTGCCTCGGCCCTTTCTAATGCTGCCCTGGGCAACTGCCCCTACAGCCCATATCAAGAGCCGCTAATGAACAGCAGCACCCAAATAAAATGTAGCCGATGTTTAACGGTATACATTTCCAGGACTCTGTTTTCCTTTTATAATATTTCCAGAGATCACTCTTTGAGCTTGATGTTTTCTACCAAAGCATAAGCTGGTCTCATCAGGTTGCTGGTCACCGACCGCCTGTGCCTGTCTGCGCTCTCCTCTCCTCCTCTCATCTCTCCTGTGCCTTTGCGTAAACGCGCTCGATGAGTGAATCAAGTCCCTCCCAGATAGAAGCTGAGAGGAACACTGCCGTCAGAGAGCCTCTCCCGTTTGATGCCAGAATTTTCTTACAGCCGTTCGAAAAAATATCTTCTTTTGTTTTTCTTTTCTGAAAAGAAAAGAAAAGTCCCACAGACCGTGGGAAACTTTGGATCACCGCCGCGGACTGTACGTTACGCACGAAGCCGAACCTTCAGCCGCACACCATGAAGGTAACCTTTGGCGCTCTGGTCATCACTGCCGGGGTCTGCGGCGTTCTCAGCTTCGCCTTTCTGGCGACTTCCCTCGGAACCGATTATTGGTACATCATAGAGATGAACCCAATGAACACGACCGAGTTTGAGGATATGAGCTCTCACTCGGGATTGTGGCGCATCAACGAAGGTAATCTGCGCCTTTAAACGCACCGTCCAGGAGGTCTAGTTAAATCACAGTGGAAGAATGCTGTGGCTGTTTTTTTTCCCTTTACATCCAGGAGGGAAGATGCATCCTGACTCCATTGATTCATTTGCAGCCGATTCCTCCAAATACACCGAGACCGAACTGCGCATGCTGAGTGAGACTTAAGCTTTATTTCCTCACAAACTCTCTCTTTCTGTGTGTGTGTGTGTGTGTGTGTGTGTGTGTGTGTGTGTGTGTGTGTGTGTGTGTGTGTGTGTGTGTGTTTTAGCTCAATCCGTGTGTTTCCGCTCCAGGCATGCACAGAGCCATCGTGGTGATGCTGCCGCTCAGCCTGGTTCTCCTGTTGTTTGGGGGAATCTGCGGACTGGTCAGCGCCCTGGCTCAGAGCCCCGTCCTGCTCACCGGCACGGCCTGTTACTTCTTCATCAGCAGTAAGTTACAACTGAAAGAGCTGAAGCTCAACAAACTGGAACATCAACAAAAAGTTGTTTTATTCCGAAGAATAAACTACATTTCATAAGATTCTTTTCATCGTGCAGAACATGTTTCACACGTCTGTTGTTCATTTTGATGATTATGGCTCAGATCTAATGACAACAAAAGAACAAAATCAATTTCTCAGAAAATTGGAATATTAAATAATACAAATTAATGTTTTTTTAACGCATAAATTTTATGACAGCTAAGTTAGCTACAAAGGGACATTCCTAAAGATGCTAGCATTTCACAGACTGCCATATTCAAGCATATTAATAGAAAACTACGTGGAAGGAAAAAGTGTAGACAGTTGTTTTGTTTTGCTTTTCTTTGTTTTTAATTTTAAAATTAAGGTCTCTGAGGTCTGGAGGAAGAATTGAGAGGAACTGAACCCAAGTTTCTTGAGGTCCAGTGTGAGGTTTCAGCAGTCAGTGATGATTGTTTGAGCCATGTCTCCTTCTGGTGTAGATCCACTGGGTTTTATCAAGTAAAGTTGAGAATCGATGAGAACACATCAAGAGGAAGATGAGAACCAGTACTGCAGACGAGCTGAAGCCGGTTGGACGTCTTCAGCACCTCAGCAGAGCTCTGGCTTCCTGCCTCCATGTCGTACTGCGCTGAGATGATCTACCTTATGCTGCATGGCAGCAGGCCCACAGCTTTGTGTTAAAAATCCTTTCTCATCACTCTTATGAAACATTTGTAGAATTTGAGAAGCAATATTTTGAGTTTCCAGTAGCTATAAACCAAAATCATCAAAAATGAACATAAATTAAGACCTGAAAATATCACGATGTGTGAAACAAATCTCTATAACATATAGTAATTCAACCTTTTTAATTGGATTTGTGTCATAAATTAACTTTTAGATAACATTTTTAGACATAATGACTAAACTGAATCGTCATAGACGGTAAAAGACAAAAATATTTTATATGGTTTACTCATTCTAACAAGCAAAACAGTGAAAATCTGCTCTACAGACTAAATAACTCCAAACTAAGGCTGTAGGGTTGTAAAGTTTGCACCTTGTATGATGAGAGATTCTCGCCTCATATGTCACCCTGTTGCTGTTATGGGAGCAACCAAGTTACATAAAAGCAGCAATAACACATCACAATAAGCATGAGACCAGCTCTGCTTCGCATCACTGTGGCGTAGAGTCAACAGAACACGTCCAGCTGCGGTTTTTCAGTTTGGAGCCTGGATGGAGGCTGAGAGGCTGAGAGGTCGTTAAGGTCACTGCGGTGGGGCCGGTGGAACACGTGGCTCCACGCCTCTGTTCTGCTCAGTGTTTGATGATCCAAACATGTCTCTAATGACATGAGCTGTTCTGATCACACGCCCCGGTGTGTGAAGTGTTGTATAAAGCCTCCTGTGGAGACGAGAGTACTTGTTCAAAAGGTGAAACCTGATCCCAACACCTCTGTTTAGTTCTGGTTGGTTTTCCTCCATCCATCCGTCTTCCCCATCCTAAATTTGCAAATTAATATCTTCAAATGAGTGTCCTTTGTCCGTTTGTGTAGCTGCTGTTGTTTCTCCAATCTAGAGGTCTGAACATTCCTCACTGCAGTGGTGTGTTACCCCACTGAGTGTGTGTTTGAGTGTCTTATCCTTGAAATGAATCGTTCAGAGAGAGCTGTTGGGTTTTATGTCATGCTTGGAACATATCCTTCTTAGTTTCTCAGAATCTCCAGCCACATCCTGTGATGAACTTTCCTTCTCCTTTTATTTTCTCCTTCATTAGGGTGAGTTGTGTGTTGATGTTTGAAGTGTGTTTCTCGTCCTTCAGTTCCTTCCTTGTGGGGATCTGGTCGACTCTGTGCCACAAGGTTTTAGTGACTGAATGTTTTTTGTTCCAGTGAGTGGTGAGATTCAGAGAGTTTATAGAAAACTGGGTGGTTTTCTGTCTGAATGTATGCCGGACGATGCAAAAGGATAGTTTGTTGTCATGCCATCCTCCCTTGTAAACTTGATTTTTTCTTCACTTGGTAAAGGCTTCCACTTCTTTGGCTTCGATTTTGACCAAGGTGTCATTCTCTTATCTGAACCAGTGGCTACGTTTCCTGACAGTTTCCCTCTGTGAGCAGTAGAGGTGATAAAAGGACGGAACATCAAATGATGCAAACTCTTCTCCTGGATCTTGTCTCACTGTATCTGTGGCGTTGTGCCTGTAATGTGGGGAGAGGCACTGCTACGCGTTCACACAACATATTTAACAACGAATGAATTCAGTAAACATTTTAACAGTGATGTGTGGCGTTTATTTGCATTCCGGTGTTAGACTGTGAAGCTTAGGGCTACAGAGGAGACTTGTAAAAAGTGCTGGGCTGTGAAGATTTATTTAATTCAAAGAAATTAAATTAGGTGTTCTCAGCAGAAAAAAGGTTAGGAAATAATTTGAGCAAGTTAGACAAGTTTTTAAAACTAAATCCGTGGATTGGTTATAGTAAAACATTGTGTGATGTGGGCAAAAACTACATTTTTGTTGGTAGAAATGGGAGGGAATCTAACTGCTGACCACTGAGGTGGATTGATCATCTTTTGAGCTTTATGCACAGCCAGAGGTACGGAAACCTCTTCACTGCTGGGTGAAGGAATGGATGTGTGACAAATGTTTGGCACCACAGAAGAGACTGCTTCTGTGGTGCTCTGTTTTCTTGCATTGAAAGAGTTGATTTAAAGTTCCAGCACAAGCAGCGTCTCACAAGATGAAGAGAATATTTGTGGGTTATGTGATCAACATGAAGACCTCAGTCAGAACAAACACAATCAAGATGACGAGAAAAACTAACTTCAGTCTGTTCTTATGGGCGGATGTGAATCTCCCACCAGGGCCTCTACCAGCCATTCTAACCGATTCCTACGTTTTGGTTGTTGGTAAAGTTTACTCTGACTGATCTTAACACTGTTATGTTAATGTGGGTATTTCTGGTAATCAGATTACTGTTGGATTCATAAAGCAATCTTCTGAGCTTGTGGCACACCTCGTCCAGCTTGATCTCTCCTGCCTTATGACCTCCATAAAGAGAACCTTGTGACAGACAGACACTTACCTACAAAGACTCTTTATAGTCTTCCCTTAATAGTCGGCGCATGGTGAGGGGCAGGATGGGGTGAAGGTTTGAATCCGATTACAACCTTTTTGTGAACATTTTGACCGTCTAACGTTGAGAAAGCCGATTTTTTTTGATCATCAGTTGCTACTTAGTTTAAGCTAGTATTTACTAATAACCTTTAAAGAAATACGCATAATGTGTTTAAGCATCAAAGAAAACAACATCAGAATTCAACAAAAGTTGCATTCTGATGCATTTAAAATATGCTCTTCTTGTGTTTTTATTTCTCACAAATAACTGAAAAGTATTCACCCCCCTGGGATGTTTTACCCTTTTACAAATCAATCACAATCGACAAAATGTGGCATTTTTTTTGACAAAGGAAATGGCAGATTTAATGTTAATGTGAAAACCAATTTCTACAAAATAATGAGAATTAAATAAAAACAATTAGCATTAAATAAGTGACTGTATAAGTATTCCCCCCTTCACATCAGTAAGTGGTAAAAGCAGCTCTGGCAGCGATTAGAGCTCACAGTGGATCCGTCTCAGTCAGGCTGCAGCTAAAACCGATGAAATGATGAAAACTGAAACTGAAAAAAACATTTTTGAACTGAAATAGATAAAAACAGTCATAAGTATGTCATGCTCTAAGGAACACTGAAATTATAGATGTAATATGCTTCGCTTTAGTGTTTATGGATCTATTTGTTAGCCTTTCAAATTGATGTGAAATACATTCTTTTTTTTTACCCACACAAGAAGTTTACATGATCATCTGTCGGCAAATTACGGCACTCCATCAGATAAAGTTGGAAGAAAACAACAGTTAGTCATCATTGAACAATAACTGAATACATTTTTTTGAAAATGGAATCTTCTGTTGGGTATTCATTACCCAACCAATGAATAATCATTATACAGTACTTTGATGTTTTTGAATTCTTAAACTAAAATTAATCAAAAGTATGAAAAATCTAAAACAAACAAACAAACAAACTAACTAACTAACTAACTAACTAACTAACTAACTAACTAACTGACTGACTGACTGACTGACTGACTGACTGACTGACTGACTGACTGACTGACGCTTCATCCAGAATTGATCAGGATAAAGGCAATATACTTGGCTTCCAGCAGCACTATGTCATGCAATAAGACGGTCATAAAAAGTAATGAAGTTCTTTTTAATGTGCTACAATATGAATTAAAAAAAATGCACATTTTTTAGCAACCAATGCGCGATCAAACCATCAGACCGGCAGACTCATCTAACCTCTCCAGAGAGACATGATTACAGCTTGTTGGCTGCCATCATAACGGTTTCCTATTATTACAAATAAAGTCTGAGACAGTTTCCGTCAGAAAGGAGAGGAGGAAATGTTCAGCAGGGATCGAAACATTACAGAATTCAAAGGATTTGCCCTGAACTCCTGGTTTTGTGGAGCTGGTGTGGTTTCATGCTTCCTCCGTTATTTTTGTGCCACGAGGCGAATGATGCAACTACTCCTCACCAATCATCAATCACCAAGAGAAAAGAGCATTTTAAGATCCAGGAAGCAGATTTGTGTTGTGTAGACTGCAGCATAGATGTAGCCGTGTAGTTACTAGCTCTGTTTCATGCTGTTGTTACAAATGGGACTGTTGTCACAGCTTCAACATCTTTATTCCAACATGAATCTGCTGGGATCCGAACCGTTCCATTGTGGCTGTGAGTGAGAGTAAATAAGTACGAACATTCTATTCATAAAACAGATAAAAATCTTATAGTTCTTCACAAAGACAGAGCGTACAAGTTGTTGTTCTTGGACTACAACTTCATTGGGACTACAAGTAGAAAAATGGAGTTCAAGTGGTGTGGAGTGTTAGTGTTTGGTGATAAAAGTGTGTTGGAGGTTTGGTTTGTTCATCCTCATGGTTGCTGGGTTTCCAACACGGCTCGTCCTAACTGGACTGGTTCGTGTTTTCCTTTCAGATGGACGGCCACTTCCTGGTAGGTTTGTAGAAATGCCACTTCTTCCATTTTCAGATGGTTGACTGAACAGAGCTATTATGATTTATATTGTTTTAAATTGAATAAACACAAATTCTCCTCAAATTTTCTATCTTTTCTTGCGCACCAGATGCTCTTGGTAGCTAACCAAGCAATTTCAACAAACTCAAACAGGAAGTTGAATTTTTATTTATTTTTTTGTAGTCATTCTCTATAAATATAGAGAATGACTTGGTGGGGAGGAGAAAGAATCTGGTGCGCCAGAGTTGCTGTCTGGTGCACATAAGAAAGCATTTGGTCTTCAAGAGATACTGACTGGTTCACATGAGAAAGTATCTGCTGGAAACAAGAAAGTATTTATGTATATCACTGAATACAAATAAATGCTGCACTTTTTAGATTTGCATTAATGAAGAAAATTGAAAACAATGAATCCGTTTTTCCTTCCACCTTGTCAGGTGTTTTTATAAGATTCTATCAGGTTGAAATCCAGGCCATAATTCTGGTATTTGACAGGTAAAGGTGAACCATTTAACTTTAACAGGAATGTCAACACTTTTCTTTACATCATAAACTAAATGACTACAATCCTCCTGATAAGCAGAGAGGTGATGAGTTTGACACCAGCTGATGTTAAATACTGTTTACATCCCAACAACAGAAAGCGACGTCGTACTTTTTCCCCCACCTGACAGACGTAAAGTTGACAGACCGACATGAACCCACATCGTTAGCAACTTTTGTTTCTGAAGCAGAGGAAGACAGCCAACTTCTGTCCTTCCTGTTTGCTTCCCAGCAGCGTCTTCGTCCTTTTCTCTCTTCCTCCAACTCATTGCCGTCAAGAGCATAACAATGAGACATCAGACTCGGTTCCTCATCACATCCCCCTCTCTGTTGCGCCTCAGGGTGTAATTGTAATAAAATCTTGATTAGTCACCACCCTGGGTAGCTCCACTCGCATCCACTGAAACCAGGAGCACGCTGTCAAAATTAAAACGGTTTCCAATAGCAACACAGTGAAAACCAGTTGGTCTTGCTTTCTTTCTATGTAGATAAGGGAGGCTAATATCGCACACATCAGTGCATTTCCTGTCTCTCAATATGAGATTTCTGCCAGCTTGATTCTTGTCTCTTAGATTAGCGCTCTTACCGCCAGGTCCCGGTGATGTCAGAGTCCACAAACTGATTAAAAAAGGTCTTGACTGGAGGATGTGGAGCTCCCACGGTTTTAAATGTTAAATCACATATATGGGTTATTGTGTTGATGGAATAATAAGCAAAAACCTCTAAATTAGTCTTTTTTGAAGACTAATTTAAAAATAATTTTAACGTAAAAAAAAAAAAAAATCAGTATTGATTGTGTGTTAAAGTTCATTTCAGTACATACATATTTCCCAGGTCCTGTGATGCGGCACATCGTGGAATAATTTGACTCTGTCTCTTTAAATTGATCCATTCCTGCTCCTGATTAGCGATCTGTATCTGACCAATCGGCTTACAGCAGCGCTAGCCACGCCCACTAAATTCAATTCAAGTCAAATCAGTTCAGTCTATTATGCTACAGCTAAGCAGACAGTCAGAGCAGATGTAGCTTTTTTGGAGGGCAAAACATGAATAAAAATGATAAAAAACTTAAAGTGAACAGTTTAAATAGCAGTAGATAATGTAAACTGGAGAAGAAAATGTGGAACAGTAGTCAGTTTGTCCTTCATGCTAGGATTATAGCATCATAACTGATAGCATAGATCAGGATAAGCTACCCTCAAGAATGAGGCAATAGAGACTCTCATAATGATTACATAATCTATTAAATATATATTTCCGTGTAGACTCAGATGAATTAAAAGTCAATAAATCCACACATCACATTTGATCTCTATCAATAATATTTCTAAAAAGGACCTACCTTCTATTTGCTAAAACTTCCATAAATATTTTACAACTGAATTAATAATTCTATGGCTGCACTTTATCTGACAGTATTAATGGATCATAATGGGTCGGCCTTGTGCAGACTTTCTCATGAGAAGTACTAGATGTTTATTTGTTGCGTAGATTATCTGCTCTCTCTCAAAATAAACATTTGTGTCTGGAAACCTAAAAAAGAAATGAAATGATATTCCTTTTTTTTCTGTTTGCTTCCACATCCAGGCCTGCTGACTCTTTGTGGTGCGAGTCTCTACATTGTCTACTCCTACCAAGCTCTGACAGAGACGAAGCGCCTGGTGGGGCCGGAGGGCCTGGCTTACATCCACACCTCCTTCGGCTGGTCTCTGGGCCTGGCCTGGCTCTCCTACGGCCTGGAGCTGCTCACCGGAACTCTGATGCTCATAGCCGCACTAAAGGCCAGGCTGCGGCAGAGAGGGACCAGTAAGGCCTGACGCTGTCTGCCGCGCCGATCCCTGAACGTCCCAAACACAAACTGAAGTGGTGTGGGCAACTTGCATTTTTATTTTATATTTTACTTTTTTGTAGGTGGTGCAAGAATTTCACAGGAACAGTGATTGAGCTGTGAACAATTGTGCCCCCTTGTGGTCCCTTCTCATTTTGGAGTTGTTGATCATGGTGTTTTATTCGAGTATACATGTAAAAAGCTAAATCTGTAAAGTTGTCCACTCTACAAACCTTTCCTCTGTTCTCATCATTTTATGAGTCCTATTTGCTGTTTTCAGTTGAATAATGAAAACAAAGTGTTGCTATGTAAGAAGTGCTAAAGAATTATTATGTATTTTTCTCACATGTAATAGTTAAAAAATTTCCACACTGCAACATTTTTGCTGCTTTCGGACATTTCAAGACGGTTTTCACTTGATTTATATGAGTGTTCATACTTTAACCTTACTGTTGGGTTGCAACCACAAACATCAATGGATCTTTTTGGTAGTGTATGATTGCAAAGTAGTTTTTAAAAATTATGAAACTCTAAAAACTGTGCCCTCCATTTGTACTCTGCTCCCTTGAGTCGAAAATCCTGATGGTGTGATTACTGGAGACTAAATTTGTCACCCGAGAACACAAAGCCTGGTCTCTCTATGGGACCAGGCTTCGGTCCCCACATATATATATATATACATAAATTCTAAAGTAAACTAGAATTCGTATCACACAAAATGTACCTTTAAGTTTGAAATAATGCCACTGCTATGAACAAACTAGTGAATTCAGGGATGAACGATTAACTCGAGTCTCAGTGAGAAACGTTTTTAACTTTGCTTGTTTACAATGCTCTGCTCACACTGCAGTAAGTCTTGTTATTCTTTTTCATTTACAAATATATTTAAGAAAGGGCTGGATATGAGAGCAGAATGGATTCTCGTTGCTCTCTGTTTTCATCACACGTCACGGCGGCTCTGTGCCACACTGATAGTTCACACAGCAGCAGAGAGGAAGAGGAGGGTTACGGTGAGCTTCCTTCTTCTTGTTTTTTTCTTGCTTTATTCTTGCTTGTTTCTCTTTAGTCAATGTTGATAGTTAAGTGTTGCTTACAGTTAGTTTGTTACCTTAACTGTTATATTTAATTTGAAATTAGGATTTTGTTTCTACCAAAGCAACTATAATCAACTTTTTTCCTCTACTGTTTATTATATTTTCCTTTTATTACAAGTAACACTAAAATGTTAATGCATTCAACATTTGTATGTAACAAAAAAAAACTACATGGGTATCTGACATTTATGTATTGAAATGTTATATTTTATCAAAATATATACGTTTGTGCTGTAAACACATACTGCAGTTATTTACTTAATAAAGATAATTCAACTTTTTTGTGAATGTCACCCATAGAAACTATGAAAATAAAACTGTTACAAACGAAATGGCTTGTTCGTAGAAAATTTACATTTTACAAAATGGATCATTTGAGAGACATTTGACTAACAGTAGGTTTTCACTATTTGAGTTGTGAATCTCTGTACCTCCTCCAGAGTCATCATGGGTTTCTTTGCCATTAACCTTTCCAAAGTTTTATAAGGTTCTGTTTCCAGTGACGGCATATTAGAGATAATATAGGTACAAAGAAAGGGAGGGCAGGAGTAAATTTCTGCCAAAACATTCTAAGTAAATTTTGAGATGAATCTCAGAAAAAAAACTGACAAATATTATTGATTTTCAAAAGTCAAAACATATTAGACTTTTGAAATTAAGAAATTTCTCTTTTTCTTTATCTAGAAAATTTCTGAGACTTTTCTTGCAAATTTTTGAATTTTCAAACTCAGAAGTTTCCTTGTTTTTTCTTGAAAATTTCTGATATTCTCAAAATGTCAGGATTTTTTGGTGGAGATTTTCTACATGTTTTCTATTTACAGTGGCCCCAATACGCCGCCGTAGTTTCCTCAGCTGTGGACTGCACAGCGATCAAAGCTTATTTCATCTAACGTTGGGATAAAAAACCCTTACAGCTGTGCATATAGCAGAAAATAAGAGTTTGAGCAACAGCATTTAGATCAAAGGTGAGTTTGGAAGCTTGAACCTTGTTGTTGTGGGCTGAGTGGCACCGTATGACCTTTGACCCAACTAGATTTCTGCTGCTGGCATCCATCCTGAATCTCACAGCTTTGTGAACATTTCTCAGAAACGAAGCCCCCACCCCACCTCCACCACCACCATATGTTTTTCAGAGACGTGGAAACATGAATAATATAATCTCCCTGCCAGCAAAACATGCAGTTGAAGGCCTGCGCTCTCCATCAGCATGAGGTCAGGGTCAGAGGCTCGGATAGTTTGGGGCATCGGAAGAACTACGGAAGCCAGGAAAGAAATTTTAGTTTATTTTTTCCCTAAAGACCCATTACTTAAGTTTGACTAAAAGTTCTTTAAGCATATGACCTTACAAGCAACATGTACCTTCAAAAAAGAATGCAGAAATGTGTGAAGCATTAAATTTGATTTATTTTTTGTGTTTTCCCATTTCAAAATGTGTTCTCAGAAGCATCATGTGATACCAAGCTAGCTTTTTAAACTATGAACGTCAGCAATACTTGTTATAGTTTGCCATGTTTTGCTATAGCGTAGCGGCACGTCTTACTTTAAATATGGGGCCAAAGCTTTTCTTGAGAAAAAAAAATCAAATTTCAAAGAAAAAGTTTCAGAATTCTGGGAAAAAGTCAAAATTCTCAGAATTCTGACTTTTGATCTCATGAGATTCATAGAAATCTTTAATTTTTTCCAGTGGCTATAACCTTTTTCTGTAGTTTTCATATGTATTCTGCCAAATTACATCAATGTGAAATGATGTTCAGCATTATTTAACTCCAAGTACTCATTGACTGCAGAGGCAGCTTTTTATTCATATTTAAGGAGTTTATTAATGAGTTTCATTAATACATTTAACTACAACTGGTCCTTTTAAAACAGTCATAATCTTCATACGGCCCAAATTAAAAATCAGTTTGACATCGATGGACCAGAATGTAACATGTTGGATCATTTCTATTTGAAAATCAGGAAGGAATGTGGAGGAACAAAATGTTGTAAATTTTAAAATTTTGTACAAAATTTCATCAAAGACAGAGCGCCTGACACATTTAGAAGGCAGATAGATTTTATTCCTTATTTTACATCAGCTATACAGTTTTCATGTGAATAGATGAAACAGTACAGAAATGCAGCAGAGAGCAAACATACTGTCGCAGCACAGATAAGAGTCAGTGGTGTTACCATAACAATGCTCTGAGATTTGTAGCATAAAAAAAAGGTTTTATTCGAATGTGGAGAAATAACTTGAACATTGCTGTCAATTAAAAGGTACAGTAGGTCGTTTTAAATTTCGTCCACAAAGGGAGTTGTTTTGAGGTTACCAGAGGAGGCCATCGTCTTCTTGCCCGTCACAAACTTCTTGGCAGCCTGGGAGGAGAAGGAGAGCAAAAACAGGAACAATGGTGACCAAATGTTTTTCTGAACTGTGACATCATTCAATCATTTTATTGGTTCTATTTGTATATTTTTGCTGTTTTTACCTTCTAGATTAGTTTGTATGTTTTAACGTAGCGTGTGCTAATTCCATAAATATATAGTTTCTTGCTGTTCACATAACACCAGCGCAGGACTTATGTCTTCATCTATTATTTTAAAACCTGAGCCTCATCAGTAGGTAGCAGATATTTATAAATGATAACTGAGACTGAACTATTTGGCTATTATTTTCTTGATAATCAAGTGGCGCCCTGACTTGGTCATTTTGATCTAAATTACTAGCATTATTCAAAATTGCTCTAAGCAATGATTATTATTCAAAGCCAAAACTGGAAGATGAAGCAGCAGCTGAAATGAAAGGTTTCAACCTCCAACATTTTAACCCATCACATAAAAAAATAAAACACAAAATCTTACATTTGCAACATCAGTCAGGGAGACATTGTCGATGTTCTTGGAGATTTCTTCTTGAGTGTGGTAGGATCCATCAGCCAGAGCCTGAGAGCCCATGGCCTCCAGCAGACCCTCAGATGTTTCCAGAGACATCAGGAACTGACCTTTTAGCTGAGCCCTGAAGAGGAAAAAATAAATGTGTACTGGTTTAGAGACAAAAAAAATTGATAGTCATGTTTTACCTTAACCCTCCAACTGTCTTAAGAGACTGGGTCAATTGGACCCCGCAAGTTTTCTATGATTTTTTCTTTTTTTTTTTTTTGGTAGTGGTTTCGGGAACTGACGGTCTGACGGGACAGAATAAAAATAAAATAAACAGAATAAAAACCCCCAGCATCAATCCTTGCACTGGGTTACTAATAAAATCACAAGGTGTTCCATCAGTTGGACGACATCAAGTGTAGTTCAAGTTCACCTCTGAGAGAAAGAAACCCCATGTCTGTACTTTAGACACCAGTTGAACCATAAGCATGAGAAAGACAACGGCTTTGTCCTACTGTGTAAACTGAGTCTGGTTTGTTTCAGACTGACCATTTTTACAACAAATGTCAATAACATCAGTTTTATCTGGTACTCATGATTAGAATTTGTTAAAGTTAAAGTTGAAAACAGGATCAGGTGCTGAGTTTTGATTGATTTAAAATATGACAGAAACTTTCTTTTGCTCATAAAAAAATAACTTTTACTTAAAGTAAAATTTTTATGTGGTAGTTTTCAACTTGTATTTGAGCAACTTATTACACTTATAACTTTCCTTGTATTTAAGTTGATCAAAGTAACTGTACTTTTCCTTGAGTATGTTATTTTTGTACCCTCTCAACTGCTGGTGGAACACAACCTAAGCTCCTTTCTCAACCAGCTGTCCATGTGTTTCTTACTTGGCCCGAGTCAGATCAGCAGCTGTGACTCCTCCATCAGCAACAGCCTTAACCTGGGTCAGGGCGGCCCTGACCACCTGACAGGACAACAGAGCACATTAGAAATCAGGACGGAGCATTAGGGCCAGCAAAACGAAAAAAAAAAACAACAATTTTAATTCTGAGAA